TAGGAATTACACTCTCTACTTTCTGGCGTCCTCTTGAACCCCTGAACCCTGACCCTGAACCCCTGAACCCCGAACCTCGTACAACTCGCTTCGGTTGTACCCCCGCACCTAGACCTCGTCTCCAGACTCCTGCCTATCCTGATCGTGGTGTGCCTCGGGCTACCCGACCCTCAGACCCTGTCCGTTACAATTATCTCGTTTACTTTTTTTTTTTTTTTTTTTCTTAAAGAGGTTGATTTTTATAGTTGACAGATAGGTTGTTTCTTAAAGTATAAAGAATTGAGGAAACTGTTATAATGTTTATAGAGTATTATGGATGCTCTGTATAGATAGGCTTGGGCCTTCTAGACCAATACTAAATTTTAGTATTTTATAGTAATTTTATTATATTGATCTTATATAATATACTGACCTTGTAAGAGGATCTATTTCTGGCATTAGGCATATAAGGAATACAGAATAGTAAGAGTAGTAGGCTTGAAGGGTAATGTATTTATATATTGGCCAGTAGCAGTATTGAATAGATAATACTTCTAATATTTTTCAGTTCTCAGGTATAAATTTTATAGGAGCTTTGTAGGTGACTTGAAATGTAAGGACTGGATTAGAGCAAGCACATGAACAGAAAAGCCGGTAGTAATATCTTAATTGCAATATCAAAAGTACCAGTAACAGCATGAGAGTTTATATTTACTAGTCTAGAAAGGTTCCAAAACTCTATTGCAAGTATGGAAGAAAGATCAGAAGCTATGATGATACTATAATTGTAGCTGAAGGCAGTCCCTCACCACACTGAATCTCAAACCAGACATCCAATATTCTATATCCCTTTCTAGATATGGAATGTCCTTCTCTCGGTGAATTGGGGAGCTCAACAGTCCTTTCTTCTATCATCAAATAATGGGCTAACCCACCAATCACGCATGCAGCCAGCTTCCGTACCGTACCTATAGTAAATCCACCCTATAAGCATCGAGCTCAACAGAAATTTGTGCACACAATGAATTACCGAATTAGTACTGTGCGAGTATAACCCCCATCCATCCAACCCGTCGGGAAGGGTTTGGGCACTAAATAGCTCTCTGAATTATATGATACTCGGGCACTTTACCACCGGACAGGGTGCAACAAGCCTCCTTTCACCCGGGCTGTTATAGTACTGCATATAATAGTATGATACCGTGCATAGCAGGGAAGTATCATACCGTGGCACCTAAAAACAGGGCTTCCCAGATATAACACAAACGGCTGAAGGAGAAAGAAAGAAAAGAAATCAATGATCATCCGATCGCCAATATGAATCCACAGCCCCGCCCCGTTTTCGCATTGTGCTTGCCTGCTGCTACCGTAGTGGCTACCGTCCCGCACTGTAAGGTATGTATGATACTCGTACTCGTCGAATAAAGCCTGGCACGGTTAGGGAAGAACCATAGGGCAAAAAAAATTGTGTCGGTGGGCCTGACACTACCACTACCCGTACAGTATAATACTCGCATCACATCATATCACACCACAATGTCGCCATTTCTGGAGTTTTTTTTTTCTCGAGCAAGGCATTTACCGTGGCCAACGCCGGGGATGCGATTAAGCTCTAGGTCTTAACTGGAGTATAGTAGAATATCGTGGGTTGCAGGCTCCCGTGGGCTTCCCGTTTGCATTATGGACGGCCTGATACCCGGCCCAGCCTGACCTCACGACCGGCCAAACGTTGTGTTTCTCAACGGCAGTTGCATAATTGCACATGCTTGTGAAAGCTTGCGCTATGATAGGCCCGGCAATTGTGTTGACCAATACTGGTGCTGGCGACGTGGTTGGGATGTGGGTGCTTTGCAGTGGGTTGTGTACCGTACAGTATGTGTTGAAGCCTTTTCTTTTTGGATGTGGTGGTGCAGGCCGCCGAGTGGGCGTTCCCTATGGGAGGCGCTATATGGGCTACGGGAAGCGGGTCAAGATGTTTACTTGAGTTAGGAGTGGATGTGAAGATGGATTGGATTCGGGTTCGGGACGGCCCTGATGTCATTCGAAGGCATTGATATACACTGATCGACATGAGTGGCTATAGGAGGGAGGTCGGGAAGCATCGTGAGATATCGTGAGATTTACACGCCTGATGTCAAGCTTGGCTTCTAAGTTAGGTAGACAAAATGAAAATCGGAGTGAAAATCTAGACATATCCCTAGTGCAGAAAAAAAGCGCCTTCAACAAGCACGCATATCCCTGATTAATTCCGAATTTTATCTGTCATGGCTCACTCATAACAAAACCCGAAAATCCTACTCTACCTCCTTAAACCAAACCATCAGCCCCGCCTTCCCGACGCCCACCCCTTCACTCCCAGGCGAGACTCTGAGCATCTTATTAAAGTACCTGTCCACAACCCTCAGGCCCGGATTAATCCACCTGCCACCTTCCTCCCCTCCTTCGGACCTGACACCCTTCTCTCTGGGAACCGGAAAGACGAAGAATCTATAATCAATCTCAACTCTGGAGCTCGGCAAAAGCTGGACGAGGATCTGCTTGGGACCTGAGAAGGCGAATGCTTCGTTGGCTTCCATCAGCACGTTGAAGGTTAGGAAGTAGTTGGTTGGGTTTTCGAGGGTGTAGCGGATGGTGAGGATGTTTGCGGGAAGTGGCTGGGTTAAGGTTGGGGATGGGTGGACTACGGCGGCGAGGACACGGGGCTCGGATGGCGGGACGGGAAGGCGGGGGACTGTGAGGGTGGTGGTGCTTAGGGGGGCAGAGGGGAGGGAGTTGCGGCGCCAGTGGAGGACTAGGGTAACGTCGATTGAGGCAGCGGATCGGTCCTCTAGGGAGCGCTTTTGGATGTCAAGGGTGAAGGGGAGTGAGGTGGGTTTCACTTGGTCGAGGACTAGAGGGAAGTGACTGCGTTAGCACTGGATTAGGGGTAAAATCTGGGGCGAAAGAATAGGGAGAGAAAGGGGGAGGTTATACATAATGATTCCTTGGGGGTTTCATCTGGTATCACTCGACAGACTGAACCTTCTCCACCACTCTCCACAGCATGGACTGGAAGCTCCCAATTCTCAACTACCACCGCGCCTCCCCCGGTGGTGTATAGCGTAACTGTAAGACACCATTGCTGGATGATACCGAGGACCCTCTTTCCATTCTCCCATCCAGTGCCTTCTTCCAGGGAAAAGTAGTCTGGCCATGGATCTGGATGTACACGTGGGGAGAAGTCGAAGGCTGTAGAGAATGGGTTGACAATAGGCATTTCGGCCATGACGCTTTTATGGATAGGGGTATCTGGATCGGAGACCAGATGGTAGTGAACGGTTATCTCAATCGCACAATCGGCAGGTCTCGATGGTGATGGGAAGCATATCGTGCGCCTAGTTGGGGGTGCGGACGGAGAAAGTTTGCCTAGTGGGTACAGCGATGCTGTTGCTGGCGCTTCTACCCCATCAGATATCCAGGTTACTGACGGCACTATCATTCAGTGTTAGAAGCGCATGGAATATTTGCGTTGTATGTGACTCACGATCGTCATCCACGGGCCATCCAAGGATCCGCAGGCCTATATCAACTATAGCGTCTTCTTCTTCCCCGTTTTCAACCGCCAGCTCGATCTTGACGATCTCATTAACGTATAGCTCACCCTCAACCGCACTCTTGGCCGTAACTTCAATTTTTGGTGGTCTGGGCAAGATGGTCAAGGCACCAGGCTCCTTTGCTCTGAGAGGGTTCTTCTTCAGGAGTCCGCCTTCCTCCCCAACCCACCAAATTCCATTACCACCATCAGGTGCTGTGTGCGCTAATTTCCTAGGTATTTGGTGAACACCTCGTGTGGAGGGTGCATCGACTCTATCATCGTCATCATACTCCGTATCTAGCATAACCATGTAGTCTAATTCGAAATCCTTTGTATACATTACAAATGTTGCACATATAGCCTTGGCATCACCAGCTTCGCGAAGGGTAGATGAGAACTCGTAGATTTTGGTTTCGCCCGGTGCGAGTGAGAGGTCTGTGTTTGCGACTAGGAAAGATTTGATAGATGTAGGGGAGGGAAGAGGTTCGTCAGGAGAATGAATCTGCTCCTGAACCTTTCCTCTAAGACTGACTTTATTTATTTTCGAGTCTGACCCGGGAGAGGATGAGGTGTGCCGCAGAAGTATGGTTCGAAGATTTCCTTCATAGGAGATTTTCAACTCCGAGAAGACGATTGGTGCTGCACTATCATGGGCATCTGAGGATATGACTAATTGCGAGATGATGGGGTCTCCAGCGTGGACTTTGGGAGCTTCAAAACAATATGACGCGGTAACTACAGGGAAGCACAATTAGCCTTGTGTTGTATTGGAGAATCTTCATTTGGATAGGGGGGCTACGGAAGCTAACAACGTCTCCTCCACGGACCACCAGGGTAGGCTTGACTTTGACTGTTTCCACGCCTTCTAAAGATCGAGAGAGATCATATCTCCACCCTTTTCGCTCTTTGAAGACAGAGCTACACGCCAACTCCAACTCCGCGATGACAACACTCCCGCCTTCGCCAGCATTACGCCCGCATTGTACGATATTCCATAAAACATCTTCAAGAACCTCCCACCATCCTTCTTTTCTATATATTCGCGCCACAGGACGCAAATCCTTCAGCGCTTCACCCCAAAGGTTTTCGTTCCGTGGCGCTTTGGACATCTTTAGCTTCGCTATTTGAAGTGTGATCGAGTCTACCATGCGCTTCTGTTGGCGGGAGTCGAACTCTCGTCTTGCCAGGGAAAGCAACGATAACTGGGAGGAGTTGTGATCGGCAGTGCTCTCTTCCTGTGGCGGCGGACAGAGATAGAGATCATATGAATCTGCATTATCACTGACGGATATCCTTTTTGCTCTCCTCACCCGTAAAGACATAAACTCGGCAGCCTTGAGATAGTAGAACCCAGCGTGGTGCAGCAAGTCTTGTGGGCCTATTCGCTCGCTGACGGAAATCTGCTTTTCGGGTGGTGCGTATATTGCTGGAGGGTCTATGCCGTCGATGCCTACCCCAAGCATCGGTATCCGAGGCGAAGCTGGGACAGATACATTGAAAACTGGAAAGCTTCCACTTTGTATTAGTTCACCAAGACACTTGTTCCATCTACTCATCCATGCTGCGAACCCATAGGTTTCAGTTCCCCTCCCTTTGCGGTTCAATATACTTGTCATGTGTGCCACGTGAGCGCTCCATCGGCGTTTGGCAGCCGTATACTGTTCGCCCCAGAGGTGACAGCGAATTAGCCTTAGAATAGTGATATCTGCCAGAAGCCTGGCTTGTGTCCATCGGTCGCTCCAGGAAGTTGTTGTTTCGAAAACCTCTGTTAGTAGCTTCTCGTATGCTGTCTCATAGTTCCGGGCTGCAATATCCATTTCCTGCCGGAATTCTGCGAATATACCTAATTTGAACTCATAGCGGAGATTCCATGCTTGCTGAGATAATGCCCTGGAGGAAGGTATCGTAGGTGGGGGTACAGAGCCCTTGTTGCGCTTACGCCGTGAGTGCTTGGACAGGTCTCGATAGTACTCTATAGCGAGCGGGTATAATGTGCTCAGGAAGTTGAGGGCAAACTGCTGTAGCTCTACCGCAGAACTATTGGCAGGAACAAAGAAAAACGTAGCATTGGAGGTTAGATTAGTAGATCGTTTAATGTAACTCAACCTATCATCAATTCGTGGCGATGATAAAGCAGATTTGTCACTCATTAACACAACAGCAAACTTGCTTCTATAACCACTGCTTCGAATTTCGTCGCTACCTATTGATGCTGAGATTGTAGACCCCGTGGTAGGTGAGAAGTGCTTCTTTGCAGCATTGATGGAGGTGATAAGCTCATTGTCTCTTAGGTTTTGTATGTTCCCGTCATTGGACTCAGTGTAGAGCTCATAAAAGCAAGCAAATACTGAGGGCAGAAGGAGCTGATGCTTCCGAAGCCATAGATTCGAGATAACACCGTCAGGGTACAGGGAGGAATCAGGGGAGAGGGGGGAGATAGGTGAGTGTAGCGCTCGAGTTGGTGGGATATCCACTCCAACTGCCAGATCTTCAGGAGCCGGCGGGGTAGCTTTACGGGGTGGTAAGGTGTAATTCTGGCAAACTCTGATTAGAGCATGGTCTCATACGATCGATAAGAGAGACATCGAAGACTACTCTACCCTCCCAATGGCTCGTATTCGGAATGCCGGACTCTTTGCTAACCGCTCGGCACGGCCCGCCCATACTCCAGACGAAGCATCCAATCTCTGGAAGCATTCGAGAAGCTGTACACCAGCACTGGTAGTAATAGGGGGTAGTTGCGAAGAAGTTTTGAATCCGCCCTCCTCGAGGAGAGGATACTCGGGAGTCTCGATCTCAGGTTCGCCTAGACCGGAAAGCACTAGCAGCGGCGTCTCATGGGTGATAAACTCGGCAGGGTAGGCGTCCATTATGGATGCTGTTAACGGGGTGCGAGGAAAGAGGAGAGAGCGAGAGTAATCAAGAGGAGCCCCTTGATACCGAACGAACAGCCCAATTTAGAGAGTGACGGTGATCGGCGGGCTATGGTCTGTTGATAAATGTAAAGCAAGAGCTTTCCTCGCATAAGGTTGCAGTGAAGGCTGAGATGCTCTGCGCATAGGCGTTTCTGACAGAACGGAGCCACGGAACACGTGCGCGCTGACTGTCTCACCCGTATTTCGCTGTTTGTCGAGTTTAAATTTACCCTCCAGTCTAAACCTCCAAACACGCAAAAACCCTTCGTACAAGCGAATCTCATCCAGCTCTTTTGCACCTTGTCACCCTGTTTATCCATTACCTGAACAGCTAGCTTCAGTCATGGCAGCAGACAGACAATACCTCGCCGAGACGATAGCGTTTGTTCACCTATCTACTCCCTCTCTTCGCGCACTTGTGGATATCCAGAGGGCTGACCCCCCCCAATCCTATAGAAACGTTAAAAGAGCTCTTGCAACGCAGTCGGATGGCAAGTTCCCGCGCTTAAGCTCTGGAAAACCTCATGCGACTTACTGACTTTTTTTAGGGTCTGAATCCGACGACTCCATAGCCTACACATCAAATCGTGGTCGCAAGCTTAAGCGCAAGGCCCGCTTCGTCCACGAAGGAGCACTGAACGATGCGAAAGGACCGAGGGTCTATAAGAAGGTGTGCAGGCACTTTGATGCAGAGGGTAATGGACGGGACTGACGGCGCGTTGCGGGGTTGTGTTTAGGAGATTGAGTTTTATGGTAAGCGGAGGAAGGTAATTTACCAGAAGGAACCTCTCCGGAAACGAAACGACGATTCGGAATCGGATGTTGAGGAGGACAGTGATGATGATACGACGAGTGCGTCTGATGATTTGGATCCTTATTCGGGGATCAGGATCGATAGTATTCCACCTCCCCCATCGCATCGCATTACCCTTGCTTGGGCTTTGGTTCGGTACTGATAAACAGCTTTAGAAATCCTCGCACCATGCGAAAATGCTGCGGATTTACCATCCCACCCCTCCATGTCCCACATATATACCTCGCGAACACTGAACGACCTCCTCCAGCAGTCGCTCACGAAACTATGCGAGGAACAAGCCCACACGACGAAGCTAAAGAATTTGCTTACGGTTTTCCTGGGTGACGACCCCTTTGTAAACTTGGAGAAGATGCAGTGGCCGGACGAAGACTTTGCTGCGATAGCTCGAGAGCGCAGCGATAACCTTCTCCGGGAGCTTGGAGGGCCATTACTGAGCGCCCGTGGGAGTATCTCAAATCCTACGACTACTGCCCTACCATCGGCGCCGGCACCAGTACTTCCAGCAGCCGCGACGCTAGCGCTGGCCACATCAGCCACAACCTCCCCATCCAAACCGACAACAAACGGCGACCTCCCTCCTGCTCCGTCCAAAGACCCCGTACCCCCCACTACCACCATCACAACAATAGCAACCGGTTCCCCCACCTCCGAAAACCCTCCACCTCTCACGGCCACCACCACTGCTGAAGACATGGACCTGGACCCACTCCTGGCAACCCCGCTAAAAACAGAACCCTCCACCCCTCCCACACCCCCACCCCGGCGCATGGCCACCCGCTCAACCCAGAACTCCCACCCCACCTCCCCCCCCCCCCAATCTCCCCCCACCATCACCTGCGGGAGATCGACCCCTGGTTCTTCCCACCCACCTTCCGCGTCGACGCCGACTTTGGCCTTCCCGCGCCCGAGGCTGCCGAGACGCGGCGCCTGCTCTCCTCTGCAGTCCAACACCAGGACGAGTTCCTCCGCGGCCTGAATAAAGTCCGCGAAGGCCTCTTGCGCGCTGAGAGGTTCAGGAAGTACGTCTGGGGATGGTGCAGGGCTATGGAGGGGACTAGGGAGTACCTTGCTGCGGGAGGAGGTGGCGGAGGTGGAGGGGGAGGAAGTGGGGGAGGAGGAGGAACAGAGGAAGGTGGCGTGGATGCTGAAGTGGAGGCGGGCGCTACCCTAAGTGATGGCGAGGATTACTATGATCCTGTTGAGTGGGGTCTTGAGGAACCCCTGGAAAAGGGCAAAGAGGAAGAGGAGGAGAATGGCGGGGAAGTGGTTAGCGCTGGGAAGAAGACTAGGGGGAGGAGGACTGTGGGCAATTGATATAATGATGGTGCTTTTCGTACTTATTTCTTGTTTGCTCTAGTTCGGTTCGGTTGGTTTACTCTTTCTCATTTCACTTCACCCCGCTCCACTTGCTTTCTTTGTTTCCGCCCAGGACTTTTATTTCTTGCCCATTGCTCGGGCACTTTTCTAAGCTGTAGTATACTTTACCCGTCCATCCATCTATCTATTGATCGTCACGCTCGTGCCTTGTGGGAAAAGAAGGGAGAGGGGGAAGAAGGAACTTGGCAAACACCATGTGCACGGAAATGATTTCCATGCAGGAATCCCGTCCTCCATTCCCCCTATATAGCCCAAAACAGACCCGCCGCACAGTAAGCAACGATTCGGCAAACAAATGACTGCACTATATAGCATCCCCGCCACGCCACGCCACGCCGCTAATACTACACCGTGCCGTGCCGGTGCAGGAGGCGCCCCGGGCCGGACCTCGGCACGCGCAGCGCACCCGCACGCAAGGGTATTTCCAGCCCAGTCCGATCCAATCTAATGGCATCATACAATAGGTAATGCGTAAAAAAATGGATTTAGTGCCCCCTTATACCCGAGGCCCCAAGTTATTTGTGTGTGGGGGGGGGGGAGGTTTCATTTTTGCCTATTTATTTATTCTTCTTCTTGGTAGCGGTACTCTGAGTATGGTATGGTAGGGGTTTCTGCCAAAGAGTTGGAGCAACCGATCTGTAGCATCCCGCAGAGATTTCAAGCTGCAGTAGATGCCCTAGAAAAGCCTATGGAATCTTGGTATATAAAAATCGTAAAACCGCACCCAACTTTTATTCTCCACCAATTGTGTTCATCAGATATCACTCGTATTCACTTATTTGTTCTAGTTTATAAATTTACATAGAGCATCCTGCTTGTTTGATAGTGCGCCCGGCCTACGCCCCCCCGAGTACTGTACGCGGGAGGATAAGCTTGGCTGTGGGTATGAATTCTCTTATACTCGCCATTTTATCGACGAGGAAATTGGGGGTAAGATCACGACGAATGTAGTGCGAATAGAAAAAGGAAATCGAAATGGAACACAGATCTTGGCTAGGCACATCATACCCCTCTCGGTACTTCAAGTAATTGTCAATTTTGCTCACTCGAGCAGCCTTCATTTCAACCCCCTCCATGTCCCACGCCCTTCCATATATTCAACACTCACACATCTCGGATTTTCGAGGAATCGTTCGCCAGGGACACCGTCCCAGGGGGCACCAAAGAGTGGCCAGAGCGGTATCGCGCAAATTTCCTGTTTTGCCAATTTAGCTCTTCGAACGAACAAGGGGTGAAGGGGGAGGAAGAAGGAGGAGCCGGGGGGAAGAACGAACGTTGGAAGAACATGTACGCTCGCACTTATACCACCCCGACCAGTCCAGCCACAACATTAGCGCTTCGAGGTCTCCTTTCCATTTGAATATGCGATGGTGGTGGTGATCGGGTTCATCGCCGTTCTCATCCCCATCATCCTGGCTGGGGGTGAGGGGAGGATGCTCCATGATCTCAGTGTATATTCCGAGAGACAATTTGCAAATTCTCGATAGCACACCTTCAACCGAATCCACCAAGAGGTTTTCCGATGGGCCTAGGCGCGTGGTGTCTAGTCTTCCGGTGTACTCCTTTACGCACCTCTCCTCAGCTTCTTCGGCGCTGGAGCCAATCTCGTAGAATGGCATCACAAGTGCGTGTGCGAGGGTGCGGACTTTTCGGTAGAGTTTGAATGGGGGCATGTGGAAGCGGGGCGTGTTCAACAGAGTGCGGAGTTCGAGCAAACGGGTCAAGTATCTTCTCGCAATGCCGTCAGAGACTTCCTGCCAGTCGGTGCCAGAGCAGTAGAGGTGCTTGTTCGAAAGGTTGTCTTCTATTTGCTTCTTTATCGCTTCCGCTTGGGGGTGAGTGATGTTTAGAAGACTGTGGCTGCGCTTTGCGTTGAGAGTGCCTGGCGGGGTTAGGCCTCGTATCGGGACGCTGTAAAATGTGGTCATTCTACAGGTGTCGAGTTTAACCCGGGCTTCGGGGGAGCCAAAATTCTGGAGTATAGAAATTCTTATTAGTATATATCGAAGAAGGCTGAAAGGTGAGTGTTCCCACCCAGGAACCACTTCGCATCCATTCCCAAGAAATCTCATTTGCATACTTGGACGCTCGAGGAAAGGACAGTGAGGAGTGTGGATCGTGTGAGGGCTCGCCGGGCTTTCCGTTCTCGGGCGGTGGGTGAGGGCGACCGTTTCCGGGATGGCCGTTCCCGGGTTCCCCGCGCGGGGGGCGACCCCACCTAGGCGGGTGATGGTGGCCTCTCTCGTAGGGGGGCCATTCACGCCTATGCGGATAGAATCCCGTTCGTCCTCCAAAATGACATCCTCCACCGTGGCCTGTTCCGGGAGGGTGGTGGTGTCCCCGCCCGGGAGATTTGCCATTGCCGGGCCACCACGATGGACGCCAGCTATGTTTTCTGTGGTCACCGGGATGTTCAGGATGTCCTTCATGCCGTCCACACGACTGGTGACCATCCAGCATGTCGTTGTGTTCATGCCTGGGAGGTTCGGGGCGCTTCGGGGGCTCGGGAATTTCTGGGGGTTCAGGACGCTTCGGAGGGTCAGGGAGCTCGGGAGGTTGGGGGTGCTTCGGGGGCTTCGGAGGGTGAGGAGGCTTCGGATGCCCAGGACCTCCATGTCCCGGACAATGGTGTCCCCAGCTTGGCGGCCACCACCACCATCTCCATTCTCTATGCCCATGGCAAGGTCCATGCCCCGGTTTCGTATCCTCCCCCTTCGGCTCCTCCATCGTTATATTCAGCCTTGAAACCAAGTCCAGCCCCACCCCGAAATCGCACCAGAGGAGTTCACTACACTCGTCAGCAAGCTCCAGCATGCACATCTGTAAAGGATTGACTCAGACTCACAAGCCAGTATCCATCCGCACGAACCCTTCAACCCCAATCCCACTCCCCCATTCGCACAGCTCCCTGGCCCTTGTATAATCGTACGCTACTGGACGCCTGTCCCTTCCGTCATCACCATCACCACCGCCGTCATGCTCACCATCAACACTGTCCTCTGGACACCAGGCCTCTCTGCCGTGAACTTTCCCATGCAAGATTACATCCTGAGCATCCGTCTTGCTTGGACACAACACGGCGCTTCCGCCGTCAAAGTATAACACCTTCAGTTCCCTCGTCGAAGAGTAAGTGTTTAGGAATAATGGTTTTTTGCGCGCGGCGAAGATTCCGTATGACATCTCGCTATCTCGGAATCAATCACGAGGCAGGCTGCGAAGGGGAAGGGGGAAGGGAGACAAACGGGTCAAAAGCCAGCCACTCCATCTTTGGCGGGGCATCTCCATCCCGGCGGGCGTGGTATAGCAATGTTTGCGGGGGTACGACTCCGGGCACGACGGAGAATCCCATCGGAGCGTACACATTTGCCCATTGCGAGAGGAGGCCTTGCAAAGATGTGAATATGAAGGGGGAGTTGTCCTCCTCGAGGTTTGTGTTTGTCTCGACATTCTCGGCGAGGGGGAATTGCTCTGCGGCGGTGTGGGGGCTTAGAAGCAGGGGTACGAGGAGGAGGATGTGCTTTGGGAGTAACATTGCTGCCACTATACTTGTAGCGTAAGTTTCTCCAGCACAGCACGGAGGAACATTGGAGGAGGAGGAGCGAGAGGAGGAGAAGCAGCAGTAAATTTAGGGCGCAGGAGGAGTAATATTTCGGCCCCGGTTTTATTGTATGATATTCCACATATCCCACACAACCCGCGATCTACCCCACATGGATGTAAGGGCAAAGACCGCTTTGGGCCGCGCGGACACCATCACATCCAAGGAGGATTTCCCGACGCTTGGGGGGGAGAGGCGGATTTTTTTTCTTTCTCTCGAGTGCTGTACGAGTACTGTATGGGTGGGACCACTCCATGTTTGTTCCCAAATCCTTGCTCGAGTAATCTTCTCGTACGGTATCATAGTCCTTCCAAGAATCCCCTGCGGGGTTGCCGAAGCCGCGCGTACGAGTACGTACTTGTACTTGTACTGTTGCATTCCCGTGCCGGCAACAACCGCCGGTGGAGAGCCTCGATACCCCACCGTACCCTGCGGTAGTCTACAAGTACAGGTACCGGTAGAGCAGTAGACTATCTGCTATATCGTCTTGAGTACGAGAGGGGCGCGCGAAAGAGGGGTCGAATTAAAGCCTTGACATCTAACATGATTTCGCTTGACACCCGCAATCTACGGTACCTTTCTTCTTTTACTGGTAATATGAGAATGCGGTAGGCGTTCAGCTCGGGGCGAACGCAGTCGAGTGCTCCCCGGACACCTCGCTTTGCCGGGAGTGAGGTTCAAATTTTTTTCCTGAAGTATCATACCCGTTTGTTTCCGTCTCGGACAATCTATCGGCGACTGAACAGATTCAGTGTCAACGTAAGGGCATCATGTCTGAGCGTTAATGCGACCCCTTGGCGCGTTTCCCACTTATTTCGGACAATGCTGTATGGTACGCCAAGACGGGGTTCCCGGGTGCGTTCCCGGCACGGCAATTGCCTGTTACCGGTACCAGTACCCTTAAATGTCTTAGGAGGACACAATCGGGATTACTGTAGCCCGACTTCTTTACTCGATCAGCGGGTGGAATGGTTGGGGGCAAATCATGTTTTATCACTCGTGACTGCATACCATTTGCCTGGCGAATGTATGATGCACGGCCCACGATGTAGTACTAGTACAGCGACTCACCCTAAATTTGCCAGATACTATTTTTCTAGCCTAGTGGCAGGGGTCATACATTGCATGGAGGGGACTCGGGTGAGGGGTAATTGTTCAGTTGGGCCGGTATTCCGACTACGAATGGCGATCGAGGAGCATTCTGGTCAAGCAGGGGTTTAGCTTTTCACGCTTGCGATGAAAAGCTTTCGTTAGCCTGTGTATATATATCAGATTTATGGTGCAGAATGCTAACCTTGCGGGATTGTGCTGCGAGAGTCCTATAAATGTGCCGGTATAATAGGGACTAATCGAGTGGTCTGTGCGGAATCTATCCATAGACTTGGCCCTAAGATGCCTGTAAGCAGATTACGTGTCCCGTGGTAGCACACTACTGTAATATAATAGACGGTATGATGGACCGCCTAGCTTACCATTCCTACGCTAGCACAACTACCATACATACGACTCTGCTTCGACCACGGGCGGACCGGGGGGCCATGTCACCACATAAAAAAAGTTATCCCAACGATTGTGTCGTAATCCAACATGGCACTTGTCGAACAACCGCTCCGGCGGTGGGAAGGTCAACTGCCAGCCTGCCTCCTCATATGTTTCATGGATAGGGGCTGGTTTGTTGAGCACCGCCGCTATCAACTAAATCTTCGGGAGGTTACGTCCGGAATCTCGTAGAATGTTTACTAATGCCCTATCCTTCCCAACCTACCTATGACAAGAGGGGACCATACCTTCCCTACTCTCCACAGTCTCCCTCTGAGAAAAAGGCTCTGGATCTTGGTCTCGAAATCTTCGTATAGTAGGTGGGAACCTCATCGCGCGTACTATTGGGTGATTGACGAACCATGCCGACTCTTTTTTTCTTTTCCTTCGTAAATTGATTGGGGGCCGGTGAAGGAGGGGAAATGGAGGATCTTTCTCTTCTCCCTGGGGGATCCGGACTATGGTGACTGACAAGGTGTGGAGAGCGCGATGGGCTATGATAGGAGGGGTGTTTAGGTTTCTATCATACCTGTGTTGCAATTATATGATACCACCTCTAAGTTAGATCGTATTACCGGTACTGACTACAGCCCTCGCGCTTGGCAGACCTCTCTGCGTGTCTGTCTGTTTAGAAGATGATGCGTGCCAGCAGACTATCATCTGCTTTACAGCGAGACCAACCCTCAATGGGTGGACCGTACAGCCCCTATGCAAAAGTCTTCGTGAAAGTGCTTAGTCAGCACCTCAAGTAACTATGGTCGCAACCCCGACCTGATCGGAATGGTGAAAACAATTTCAATTAAGTGATGAAAGCTATCTAAACATGCCAGAGAGATGAAATAGAAGGGTTTATAGAAACTAAGAAAATAAAGAAATTAAAAGTGATAGTCTAGAAATCTAAAAAATCTAATACCTCGTATACCATCCCTTTGCCTCTATCACAGCACTGACCCGATTAGGCATGGAAAGCCACAATTTCTCGAAGAACTCGGGTGGAATTGTCTCCCAAACCAAAGGCAGTATTTCCCGTAGCTTTTTCTTGATTGCCTTAGGTCCCCCCTTGGTGTCTGCTAGGCGAGGATACTGGATTTGGACTCGGCGCTTCAGTTCCACCCAAACATGCTCAATTGGATTAAGGTCAGGCGAGTAAGGAGGATGCTTTTCAACTGTAATATTATTGCGCTCAAACCAGCCTTGCACAATATGAGCTTTGTGCGCAGGAGCGTTATCTTGCTGGAATGTGGGATCGCCGAGAATTTCCGAAACGGTACGTAGGATTGGTGGAAGATAGCACTTTAAAAGCTTCAAATAGACCACTTTTGTGACTGAACGATCTAAACAGACCAGTGGACCCTTGTTTTTACCCCAGAAACAACCCCATATCATAAGAGATGTTCCTTTCCGCTTGCCTGCTTTAGGGTAAACACATTCCTCAAGCCACTTTTCGGGTGGTTCTCGAAATACCCACACCTGACGGGGGTCAGAACTGTGCTCTACTGAACATTCGTCACTCCAAATCACTCCTTCAAAATCCTCCGCACTCCAGTTTCTTCTTTCCATTGCCCAATCCAAACGTTGCTTCACGTGCTCGGCTTTCAATTTTGGACTTTGCTTTACGAGCCATTTTTTTATATGGACTTCTCGTAACACGCGATCGACTGTTGCAAGTGATACACCGGGTGCAAACCGATTTCTGAACTCGTTCCGGGAAAGTGTTCGGTTCTTTTTTGCTGCCCTAATCAAGCGCTGCCGAGCTTGTTTATTGAGTAATACAGGACGGCCGGATCGAGGCAAATTGTCAACTGACATTCTCTCTGTTGCGCGAATAAGGAACAATTTCACGGTACTCCATGGCCGGCAAACCAGCTTCGAGACCGTAGTGATACATCCAAAGCAGTAAAAAAAGGGAATAATCATCCCCTTCTCATAATTAGAGAGCTCTCTTCGCGTAGTTTTGGGTACTTTCGGCATTTTGTAGAGGGATGGAACGGGCAAGTACACGCTACTGTAGCACTTCTTGTTTTTATTGTAGTATGCTGACTAAAATGTCTCACTTTCACGAAGACTTTTGCATAGGGGCTGTACTTCACCCCCCACGGAGCAGCTGCCTCTCTGCTCCCCACAAATAGTTTCTCTCAATGCTTTAATGATGGAACAAAACCCTAGACTTCTCTAATGCATTGCTTCTATCCACACGCTCACTTATGGAGAGCGGTGATAGCGATAAGTAGATGCGATTCCCTACGACGCCAAAACTGGAATTCGCTAGAGGGCTTAGTCAGGTAGGCTCCCTGTTTGTTTTTTTCACCATCCTCGAACCGCTCGAGTCTATCTATCGTCTTCAGGGTTGGGCTGGGCTCGTGGCGGGGACTGATTGGGGGTGAGGGGTCTCTGGGTGTGAGCAGAGGTGCTGGACCTTGGCGGTCGTATCATATTCGTGGGTGTCGATCTATTGCGAATGCTGTGGGATAGGGCAGGGATCTAAAAGTAAAGGTTGTTATATCGTCGATGGAGATGAGGGTGACGCGTTATGGCATGGTCTGGGAGCACTCCTCGGAAGCTTTGTCATAATATAACCACATATCATACCGCCCTGCTATTCCCCCTTTTCCGGCAACCATTCAGACTTTGAAGATAGCTTCTCCCAGGCGCCTTACGTTGCATGCGGGATTTTTGATGTATGATACCTTACGAGGGCGATGGGGATTATATCCTTGTAGAATTTCCAAAGTGCTGTGGAGCTTCCCTGGTCGTGAAACAATTGAAGGTGTTAGAGCCTGTAATGTGACCACTTCTGCATTACCATCTTGGCACCCCATCACACTCTAAGACGAGGCCTTTCCGATTACACACTGCTGGCGGGAAGAGTCCATGTCTTGGGTACCATAGATTGGAGAACATTATTTTAGCACCTCGAGATCGCCGAAAATATCTGTTCCGTTAAAATGTGATACGCCAAGGAACCACGAATATGGGTAGTATCGACACGGGAAATGTCAACGAGGGTCGTCGGATTCTTCAGCGGTGATCACCCATAGAGCCATCGGAACTGCCCCAAAATGTGCGAATAGTGAATAGTGCTGCCCGACACTGCGGGGAGTTGGATCCTGAAGACAGACAAGCTTCGAAAGTGGAGTGGAGTGGTAGGCAGGATGGCTGCGCCCAGAATATTACAGCACCATGTGACCAGTACTGTAGCTTGTCAGCAGAGCCGGAATCTACCGTAGGACTATGTGCGGTACGAGGCGCTTTCCAAAGGCCGAAATTGAGCTTAAAGGCGGAACCCCGTGCTCCCCCGCGGCCTAGGAGAAGCGTTGAGGGTGGCTATTGCGTTGATATGGGGACACCTGTCAGTCCTAGCGGGGGTAATACGGTATTAAAGGATATCTCAAGATTGCGGTAGGTTAGATGGTGACACGAAACTCGACACGGTGAACGATAATTTGCAGGGAGTAGAGAGGGGAATTGCCTGAGGTGTGGAAGTACTTGCACTCGGACTCCTGGATGTATGCGGGAAACCCTTCGACATACCATACCACAGCTATACACTCGGGTGCATCCTCCCTTAACTTGCCCTCGCACCTGGGCTCTCCTACATCACCTATTATCACTCGTGGGTTTTGGGCAGCGTGGGTCGAGTCCTCCGACAGACAATCTATGATATCATGTCCCAGGGTGGAATGGAGATCCCGGAGGGCAGCGACTCGATAGTGAGTCTCTCGATAAAGTTGGGTAGCTTTGATGTGTAGAGCACAGCTATTTTCTTGTGGGAATTCAGGAGGCTAGTCGAGGGAAGGGGGGGCTTTGTAATTTATTGTTTCTTTTTCCTTTTTTTTTTTCGCATTTGGAATCATCGTAGCTAGACTAACCTATTTCGGGGGGCAAATGCCTGAGAGTCTCCCGAGGGTGGGATGTGTAGAATGGTGGTTTAGTGGAGTGCTAAAGTAAGCCGTTTTTAATCTCCGGTTCTTGCTAATGTCGAGTATGATTAACAGCTACAATGTCTCTCGTATCATTGGCATAAAAAAGCCAAGATCGGGATTCTGATCGCTGGCGTACACCCCGGGATTCCGCCCACATGTGCAAATTGGGATGAGAAGAAAAGGAGGAAAAAAGGGCCTATTTTGGTTGAGTGAAAACTAACTCCTATAGTTAGATTTCTTGCTAGAGAAACGTCGCCATACAAAATTCCCTTTTCTCCGTCCGCCCATCCGTGAGCAAACTCAAAGCAACAGGCTGAAAAAGGCGAAAAATTAAAAAAAAATATGGGGCAATGGGATTTGAAGCTAGACCAAAGCGGAAGGAGAAGGAAGAGCTGAAGTAAAAGCTGGTGGAACGCCAAAGAGAAAAAAGGGGGAAGAAGAAAAAATATTAGAGGACATTGTAGGTAGAAAGTAGGAGATCGTAGGGTCTAATCATCAAACTCCTCACACCCAGCAAAGTTAGTCTTGGCAATACGCTCGGCCTCCTTTTTCTCGACCTTGGTTCTGATATCCGCAATGAACCTAACGAGCTCATGGATCCTTGTGATGCACTCCTTGAACCCATCACCCTTCCACGGATCCGTGTGAAAAGCGCCGGTTCTGGTGAAATCGGGGTGATAGAATCCGCCAACTTTGGAGCTCTTGAAAAAACTGTTAATTTCGGGGTTCCATGGGCCGCAGTATCCGACACCTAGCGCTCTCTGATGAGCCATCGTAGTGACCCATTCCGAATTCGAGAAGCTAGCGCCCCAGCGTGTGTCGGGAATCGTCCTGAGGCCATTCCAGGAGTTTTGGACACCATCGGGATACGCAGACCTGATTTCGTCGGTATCGAAATATTCATACTTGGTTATATCGAATTGATAAGTGGTGCCTTTGATCCAAAATTGATGCTTGGTCTTGAGGGTCAGAGCCTCAACCGTCATCCCGGGAAGATTAACATAGCTGACTCTAGGAACCAGTCTTCTGCGATCAGGGGCACCACCCACGGGTGGGCCCACCGGATCAAGCACGTCAGGTATTTCCTCGATGCGTATCTTTCTCACAAATTCGGAGAATATGGGATAGATGTCAGTATCACGGGTTAGACTATGTGTGAGGAGCTGGAATTGCCAAGCAAGGTCATTTTCGAGATCCATGACCTTAATATCGAATGGCCCTTTTTGCCTAGTGGAATGGTCGCCAGCCCTGATGGGACCTCCTGACCCAGGCGCAAGCTGTATCCATGTTCTTGTGCCCACTTTATACAGATTTCCAGCCGAATTCGCAACACCTATTGGATGAACCCCGGGGATCTTCTCAAATTTCACCTCCAGACGGAGGTCATTAGTACACTTTTTATCGTCATGTGTCCTGCAAATTAATGTAGCATGGTACACTGGCTCCATATTCGTTTCATGGGGACGCAAGCTGGTAGATGCGCTATTGGTAATAGTTGTATCGTAGGCATTATCCCCAAACATGAAGTTGCTAGTATTGGTAGGCTGAAATAGGTCATGCCTAACAAAGCATTCATGAATGAGTTCCTTCGCTACGTTCTCGCCGCCAATGCTAAAGTGGGTTAATAAGTGTATATGAAACGATCCTGCTTGGGCGACCACTTACTGTCTGATAAGTTCTCCGGCTGCCTGTGGATTCTTAGCCATTTCGCAAAACTCGAGAAGTTCAAACTCCTCACACACCGGCGCCCTGTAGCTGAACAGCATCATTGACCCAAAATGGACCTTCATAGTGGAATGTCCTCTGTAGTACAAAAGGTCACTAAGTCCTTGCTGAACCACCTTTTTCAGATAAACGTAGTTCGCCCTCTCAATCTTTGCCCTTTTGGTTTTCCACATTTCTAACCATTCAGCCCTAGGAGGGATCGCCGAAAGACGAACCATGGGCCAGATGTCTGTCTTACGCTTGATGGTCACCTGACGATCTTTAAAGCCGTGCTCCATTATCAATTTTACGGTTGCTCCTCTGGGACTGGAGCTTGGGGGGTGGACGAGCAACTTCCTGTTGGGTTTCCTATTCCTTCCTGCCACCTCACAAAACACGCCGAACATGCGTTCGAGAGCAGCGCTCACAAGCGCTTCATCCTCGCCGGCAACATGAAAGATGCCCTCAGCACGGGACAAAGTAATGTAGACCCGATTTTCGTATCTGAGGTCGTCAAGGGCTTCGAAGCTGGCCCCCAAGGGCTGTTGAGGGTCGATTTCCCCTATTGGCCAGACAAAAACCCCATTGTATGGGAGCGGCTTGTCAGCAGGTGGCTGTCGCCGATACTTTTTGCGTAGCATCGCATCGTGAGCTTGTCGATCAAGCCATTTCTGCATACGTTCGCTAGGGGCCGCTTTGATCTTTTCCCAGTTACCGCCTGCACGGCGAATCTCAGTCTCTAGCTCATGCATGATGTGTTGCATCAAGGCATTGAGGTCGTGCTTTGCCGCCTCAACTTGTTCTTTTGTTCCCCATATTCCGATTCGCTACGCTTAAAGTTAACAAGAAACTCAAGTTCTAGCTAACCATGAAATTACTTACGGGATCATCAGAGCTCTCTGGAACTGAGAGATGGGTATTGGTTTTTATCGCTATATACGCGAGGTGATTGTTTCTAAGCCCGAAGAACGACTCGTCGAATTGGGTAGGGCGTCGGATGGGGAGACTCATATAATCTATCAACAACATTGATGATTAGCTGATCAACATCGCACAATAGGGAAGATGCTTGAGGGCGGCACCATCAGCGGGAACCCCATCTCTTGCCCGTTTATCGTTGGTAGAATCTCTCACAAAACCGTCCAAGCCAGCAATAAACTCTGCGGGCCCTGGGCCACGACCCTCGCCCACACCGTTTTGATCTTGAAAAACGTTCGAAAGAGCGGGAATCCCAAACATAGAGTGCCCAATCACTGCGGGCACATCGCCTCTGTAGTATCCACGATTGTGACTTCTGGGATTTTTTATGGCAAGCGGGCGCTCGCCGAGCGAAGAAGGGCCCGGCTGCAAATTCTGACCTTTGTACTTGGCACCCAACCCAGAGGTATTCTGGGGATCGGTATAATATTTAGAATCCTGGGGTGGATGGTTCTTCTGCGGTTTGCCAGAGGTCCTGTTGGACACAAGGCGATTAGAGGAGTCTGTGGCTTGGATTTCATAATTGACCGGATGAGGAGAATGCGAGCTTGTAGCTGCAGGGAGAGAAACTAACTCAGGAGTTGGCTGCGGCGCTTGGGGTTTGCTTTTAGCACCCCTTTTCTTCGTGGCCCTTGGTGCACGTAGGGGTTCCCGGGGAGGGGGGGTATCATCGTCGTCCCAACCCTGGGCATTGAGTAACTCGTAATCCATTGACTTTGGGACTAGTAAATTTGGTGGCGTCTAATGTAGGTCTCCTAAGTTTCTGAAATGGAAGGGCAGTAGGATACCAGATTGGGGGCGGTGGGTGAGATTGAGGTGGTGAGGGGGAAATTTTTAGTTGAAAGAAGGAAGAGCCCAGTCAGGCCGAGAAAGAGAAAGGGCAGTTTTTTCCGCAGGAGACGTCGTGTTTGCGTGGGAGGAACGGGGCGGCTGCTGGATGGTGGGTGGTGGATGCGAGCGGTGGTGGTGGGGCTACCAATACTTAAGGTGGATGATTGCCTTTGGTGGGAACGAAGCTTTGTGGGGGGGAGGTCTTGGGTTTACCCGTACGGTTGTCACTCTGCCGATGGACTGCCGTATGACACCAGCAATCGCATCGTCCGCCGTCCCGTGCACACACGCCAGCCCCGCGTACGGCAACGGCTGCCCGAACCAAACCTCTCGTCGTTGCAGAGAAATAAATCGCGTGTTCCTCAAAACATATCGTAGAACAATTCACCCCCTCGAATAGACGGCCGGACCTCTCGCTCCCAATGGCTGAACCAGTTATTGACGAAGCCCTCCGTGAGGTATCAGCCCTACCTCTCTTTCATACCTTGCTCTACCGTCCGCCCTGCTGAAATATTACAGAGGCTCAAGTCAGCTCTCTGGTTCTCCATCGGTAAGATTGTCGACGAGGAGATTCTTCAGCTTAATGTCAACGCAACTCCTCAATTCATTGGAGCTCTGACCGAGATGGTCTGGGCACAGCTAGGTGAGTTATCATAGCTTTTGGAATCCACATTCGCTAATATGATTTTCGGACTAGAGAACATTAGTCGAGATCTCGAGTCCTTTGCCAGGTAGGCCAGTCACCACTTCCTCATCCCCCCATCTCTCACCATTCACTTCGACCGGTGCTAATCCATTCATTAGGCATGCTGGGCGCTCTACCGTGAATACCGACGATGTTCTGCTGCTTGCTAGGAGAAACGAGGGGCTGGGGGAACTTTTGAGGGCATTTGTTGATGAAGAGAATGCTGGGAAGCTTGCGGATAAAGGAAAGGGGAAAGGAAAAGGGGTTGCAAAAAAGTAATTTGTTGTGTGATCCTTTTGCAATCGGGGATACTTGCACTGTTGTCTATGTTTAATGGCAGGAATTAAGGCACTTCCCTTTATGATTCCATCATTACGACTGGATACATTTGTGGTCTTCCTATCAATCATATGACTTGGGGGCCGACTATACTCTAGACTAAAGTGCTGCAGGTATCATAATCATGTATACCCACTAAATTACCGTATTCTACTCGTACAGTGACAACCTACAAGTGCCAGTAACCCCCCCCTTTCCCTATTTCGGTTACGGCGGGCTGGTCAAAGCTCTTTTCCTTCACCAAACGGTTCCTCGATCAGGGCGAGAGTTCAGTACTACCGGTATAGCGATTCCATTATTTCTATCATGACCCCCGCCAAAGTCTCAGATGCCCCAACCGCCAAGTGTAACGTACTAGTACAGTCGATATTCGCTATATAGCACGGTTTGCCTTCCTCCATGCTTAGCGTTAGAACCAGGTAAACAAGGAAAGCCTTTATCCCCCAATTTCCTTTCCTCCGCTGTAGTATTCAGGACGCCGTGCGGAGACCGTCCCTTAAGTCGCTCCCTCCCACTCCAACCCACTCGAGTACGGTGTTCGACAATGAAACCAGATCAAACATGGCATCCAGAGCGATCTATCAACTCGACGAGACATGTCCGTTCCAGAGAAAGTATTTTCGGCTGTCCTTCCGGAAATAAAACCATAGCTTCTTTCTCTCCGCCATTTGTATCCCCCTACATACTTGGACGCGGTGGAGGGCGTTTCCAATAATGACCTAACATCCTTTACCGAGTGTTCGTGTCGGAACCGCCCTGGTGAAATCCCCCTCACCCCCGAGCCGCACCAGTTGGCCGTTTTTTTCTGTCCGAAAAATACAACTACCAAGACTAATGGTGGTTATGCTGGCCGTTATGCATGTGAGAGTATTCGTTGGGGGAGACAGACAGATGCAGAGTTCATTGCATTCGCATTGAAGCCAAGACGGAAAGAGTTCAGGGCAATCACAAGGAGAAATAGAGCTATTAACGATGTTGCTAGGGTTTTCCACTCCCATCAACAGTCCATCAGATCTCCAACGGTTGATGAGCCCCTCAAACTCCATCCTTTCAAGAGGTCATAGAGTAACCAATTCTTGGATGGTGCTTGAGAAGTATGACTACAAGATCATGCTCTTATGGAGGCATGAAAGTGCAGTGGAAGTGGCTGGTGGGTATTTGCAGCCCTCAATTCCAGGTCCAATTTTAGGGCTTTTACACCTCAACCAGATGGGACTAAAGAACCATGTGGCCAAGCCTTGTTGTTAACTTATATTAACACCACCTAGCTTCCACTGCGCAAACTCTCTCATATCATGTTGAAATGGTTCAACGCATACTAGTAGTCTAATTTCTGGTCAAAGGTACTCGAGCAATCGCAGTAATTATGATGCCCCCTCCCCCCCTCTCCGCCCCCTTCTCTCTTCTCTGCCTTGGATGGAATATACTTGTAGATAAAGCTAATTCCTTCAAAAGATTAGGAAGGAGCACCGTGCCCTGCTCTAACACTTAGAGGTAATTGTTCGCGGAATCATGCTCGTTTGGCGGTCGCACCGTCAGCAGTCTAACACTTGGAGGCAGCTTGTCCCGGACGAGGTGGTAATAAACTACTGGGGCCTGCTAGCCTATCGATTGGGGAGCATCAAAATAAATATGCCAGTTATTAGCTTCTTAGTTTAGCGGTAACTTAGGCCTCATCGATAAACCTTTCTTGTTGGGAGTGATGTTATTGTTTAATTCTCACCCGATTGACATTACAGTTAACTTGCATCCCTCCCTCGTTTCGCTCCATATCATCCATCCCCTCCACCGGTATCGGAGGTTAACATTGAGCCTTGGCTTCCACCGAGGTTACTCTAACCCACCCACAGTGTTCTCTGTTGAAATCCGGTGGTAACCGCCTCCACCCCACCCAGGTCAACCCCACCCTCCTCTCTCTTTCCTCCAATTCTGAACGGTTGCAGCCACTCCCTTTCATGGCCAGTTCTCTTTTCTTTTCCTCTAGTCAGGTGAGGCGACTGTTTAACTCCTCGTCTATATATACCAGTAGATCCCCCCCAATTCATCACAATGATTCACACCCCTGCTATCCGGAGATCTATCCCTACCACAACCACCCGTCTACCATTTATTCGGAAAGCAAACATGTCCTTCAAAATTCCAGCTATCGACAATGAGCCCAATGTGCACTCCTTCTCCTTCTGCTCCATGGCGATGCGGGCTAATACGGCCGTAGAAACACTATGCCACGGGTTCCTCCGAGCGTAAGGCACTCACAGAAGCCATCCAAGCTCTTCGTTCGAGAGCTCCCATTGCCGTTCCACTCCGTATAAATGCGGAATCTGTCACCACACAGTCTACAGCCCCTCAATTCGTTCCTTCGTCACACGCTACTACACTCGCTTCTTCCTCGCAAGCTTCCAAGGAACAAGTTACTGCCGCCATCTCATCCGCCCTTGCAGCTAAGCCGACGTGGGAGTCCTTACCATTCGCCGACCGTGCAGCTGTATTCCTGAAGGCAGCGGAGCTAATTTCCGGAAAATACCGACCCGATATTATGGCCGCTACGATCCTTGGCCAGGGGAAGAATGCGTGGCAAGCCGAGATAGACGCTTCCACCGAATTGGTAGACTTTCTGAGGTTCAACGTTCAGTACGCCGAGGAGCTCTACAAGCAACAGCCAGCAAAGAATGCACCTGGCGTTTGGAAGTATGTCTGTCCCCCGGCCCTGCCGATCTAGAAAAGAGCTGATGCATTGTGTCTTGGTGGTTTAGCCGTGTCGAGTACCGCCCCTTGGAAGGGTTTGTTTATGCAATTTCGCCATTCAACTTCACAGCTATTGGTGGTAATCTGCCTATTGTGCCGGCTCTTCTTGGCAATGTTGTTATCTGGAAGCCTTCCCCAGCTGCAATCTACAGCAACTACCTGATTTACCAGATCCTACTTGAATCGGGCCTTCCAGGGAACGTTATTCAATTCGTGCCCGGAGATGCAGAATCCGTAACCAATGCCGTCCTCTCGCACAAGGAATTTGCTGCGCTTCACTACACTGGCTCCACTGCTGTTTTCCGTAAACTCTACGGCAAAATCTCCCAGGGTGTGGTTGAGGCTAGATTCCGCTCCTATCCCCGTATTGTGGGTGAGACTGGCGGAAAGAACTTTCACTTGGTTCATTCGTCAGCCGACATTCGCAACGCAGTAGTGCAAACCATACGTGGTGCATTCGAATATCAAGGGCAGAAATGCTCAGCTTGCTCACGTCTCTACATACCGAGGTCTATTTCTGAAGACTTCCTGTCCCAACTTAAAGAGGAGACCTCGAAGCTCAAAGTCGGCGCTCCAGACGAATCATTTGAGAACTTTATTGGGCCGGTTATCCACAGAGCATCTTTCGATAAACTCAAGAGTGTGATTGACTCTGCCAAGTTAGATTCGTCTCTTAATCTCCTGGTTGGTGGGAAATATAATGACAGCAAAGGGTTCTTCATCCACCCCACAATCTACGTCGCCAACTCCCCCGCCCACAAACTCCTCAACGATGAGCTCTTTGGCCCGATCTTGACCGTTTACATTTACTCCGATGAGGACTTTGAGGGTGTTATGAAGACTATCGACGAGAGTGGTGGCGGATATGCACTTACCGGTAGTGTGTTTGCCAAGGATAGGATGGTTATCAGAAAGGCTGAGGATGCGCTCAGAAATTCCGCTGGTAATTTCTATATCAGTAAGTTTCGGATTGCTTTATCCCCGGAAAAATTTCTGATAAAGGAAAAGATGCAAAGTGCACAGGCGCTGTTGTCGGCCAGCAGCCATTCGGTGGGGCCCGGGCCAGTGGAACTAATGACAAGGCGGGGAGTATGAATATCCTGACTAGGTTTGTTAGCGCGAGATCTATCAAGGAGGAATTCACGCCTATCGATAAGGTTCTCTATCCCAGCAACGATGTCTAGGCTTGATATTTTTCTTTCCTTCTTTTTTTCCCGTCCATCTGGTTTGGTCGCGATGTACTGTAGGATACAGAATTTCTTTTCAAAAGTGGACCACTTTCAAACTTGAGGCACAGGCTCTCACTCGCTTTACCATTTGATTCTTCCTTGTTGATGGTCGTAGGATCACTGAGGGCGCCCGGGATAATTTCATTAGCATGATAGACACCACATTCTAGCTAGAGCAAAAAGCCGTGGCCATCTGGGGTCCCCGACGGAAGACAAGAGGTCTATCTACAAGTCTCTACTAAACTGATCCCAAAAGACAAACTCCGCTCGGCCATCTCACCAACAAGTCCCTATCATACAACACAAGATTGAGGCTCAACGCCAAGCCACTTACTACATCGAAAAAGCCTCCAACCTACTCACCCCACCAGAATACCGATACAACCCTAGCTCTCACTCCTAACTCGACACCCCATCTTCAACTCTCATCCGACTGAAAAATTCACCAGCTCCCACCAATCCGCATGTAATTGACCACAAGCCTCCAGGAGCGACCCACTACAACTTGCTCCTGTCCCAACGCCCAAACATGACCACCACTGCCAGCGCCACCACCACGACCCCAAAGACGCAGGTGGTCAACAACCCCCCCCGCAAAAACCACTTCCTTTTCGGCGGCTTTTCGGGGGTCCTCGGTGCGGTCCTGCTCCAACCCGCGGACCTTCTAAAAACCCGTCTGCAGCAGAGTCCCCCTACCACCTCCGCCACGCGTACACTGTTAACAACCCTCCAACAAATCATCTCCTCTCCGCAGCCCGTTCGCTCGCTGTGGCGCGGCACCTTGCCCAGCACTATCCGAACGGGTGTGGGCTCAGCTCTGTACTTTTCTGCGCTCAACACAATCCGCAGTGGGTTCTCTACCCGGCCTAGCACTACCGCCAGCAGCAGCCTACCTACACTCTCACCATTGGGGAACCTTGCCGCCGGTGCTGGCACAAGGGCGGTGGTGGGGGGCCTACTGATGCCGGTCACTGTACTAAAGGTCCGTTACGAATCCAATTTATATGCATACCCAACATTATTCTCCGCCTGCAAAGACATCCACAAAACTGAAGGAATGCGAGGCTTCTTTAGCGGCTGGGGTGCAACCGCTATCCGCGATGCCCCGTACGCCGGGCTGTACGTAGTCTTCTATGAGCAGAGCAAGAAGACACTCTCCCGGCTCTGGAATACCGAGGGGGGTGGAGTAATGGACATCGGCACCGCCGCGGGAATAAACGTACTCTCAGGAGCCGGCGCTGCAACCCTGGCTACTGCGATCACTAATCCGTTCGATGCGTTGAAGACTAGGATCCAGATTGCCCCCGAACGCTACAGGAATCTATGGCACGCGGCGAAGGTAGTTGTGGAGGAGGATAGGAGATGGAAGGGACGGGCGCTTTTTGATGGGCTGGGGCTGAGGATTGCTAGGAAGGCGGTCAGCTCTGCGATGGTTTGGGGGATATATGAGGGATTGGTGCGGTAGCCTGCCTTCTCCCCGATTGGCGGAGGGGAGGCCGTGAGAGCGGATGGAAAGTGTTTTCATGTTTCTTATTGCTGCTTGCGGGTAACCCCCAGCTTCAGCACTGTGCGGAAAGAAACAGAAACGGTGTATACGGCGATAAAGGTGAAGCCTATCGATAACATAGATCGCTTTCCTTAGGTTGGGTGCTTATAGCTACTTAATGGATACGGTTTGTCATACTTTTTCTTGCCTGTCTCCTCTCGCCTATCACGGGTGGCCGTTTGCTTTCCGTTTGGGAAGGGATTTGGCCGCGACCTTGGTTTGCGAGTGAGATGTTGCGATAGAGGTCGTTTAACCTGCGGCAGTACAACCAGGGTTCGCAGTCAGGCACGTATGGTAAGCGCTAAAAAAAGAAAACTTGGCACTTATACTAGCATATTGGCCACGTGATATCAGTTTGTGCCAATAAGGAAGTGAATAAAAGGAAGACTGACCAGCGGATGCTATGTTATACTAGGACTTGAGAAGAGGATTACTTAGAGTATAGAAGATGAAATAAAGTATCATTGCCGGAAGTGGCAGTTTGTTTGGCCTGCTGGGTATCGGGGGTACGCAGCAGAGACAGCTGCACAGTACTCGTACTCTCCAAAAAAGCCCGTTCCCGAGGTATGTCCCGTCAGTGGCGGCACACCAATTACTCCCCTCTTGCAACCTTGACGATAAGAGAATTGTGTTGATAGCTATTGCTCATAAGCCGGATACCCCCGGAAAACGGGGGGGGGTGTGGCTAGAGGTGCTGAGAGGTGACCAGGAGTATGACACTCGTATGATAGGCTTCAATTTTGATAAACGGGGTGGGGTGACTCGGTCGTTTGGGCATGGGGACAGACTTTGATTTGGGCGAGGATATGTACGATAAATAACAGCTTGCTCTCCGCGCTCCGTCCCCTTGCCTAGGGAAACTGGGGCGGCAAGAATGTCACTACGAGTAAATTTGCAGCTAGGGGGGTATATCAAGCTGCCCGGGAAGGGGTTCGAAGGATTTAAGTTAGTTATCGCTGGGGTGGCGGTGGTATCATATTGTTGCTGGTTGCTCCTGCTACCTTACGCTAATTGGCATTGTTAGTTTGAGTTTCAATGGCGTTTGCGCCTCATTATCCCCTTAAGCCAGACTACCGGTACCCTGTTCTCCCACGGGGCATATTATCATATCATAGCCCCGTCGGGCTAGAGATTTTTGGTGCAGTTGTGGGATGGAAAAAGTCTGTGCGGTATTGCTTTCCTTCTCTTCCCCCGTGGGCTCCGATGGGAGAAAACATATCAGTCGGGTCAACGAAGGCTAAGGATTCCTGAGACACTGATGTAACTTGTGTTTTTGATAGTCTAGTGTTTCCAGCAGCTGTGATATGATACCTGTAAAAGGTTCACATGTCTCCACGCTAAGAACTTCTTCGGGGCTACCACATGTCCACGGAGGGGGAGGTGGTGGTCGACAGGGATTCAACGCGAGGGGTTTTTATCTTTTCTTTCTTCTTTTTCCCCTGCCATAGATAGGTTACTCTGCTGTCTCTCTTCCACTCCCACCCCCTCTGGGCATGGTGCCTTTTCATTCTATCGCGAGGAATTAATTGTTGCTCTTGAGCAGGATCTAACATGGGAACCTCGGAAGACCAATTTTGTTGGGACCGTGAGGATATACAATTGTGCCACGGCCCCGCTGATAAACGCTATGTTTTCTCACGAGTCATTCCCATGATATGAGGGGGGTATAACTAGCTACTTCAGAAGTATTCAAGTCTCGTTGAGATCAGACAGGCCAAACTAAAGCTATTCCGGGCCTAGTAGAGATAACCCAAGGAGGGAGACTATCTTATTTATCATCTCTCTTCTTTTCTTTTCTTTCCCGTTTGTCTAGTTTATTCTACAGGTATTTGGTAACTACCCTCGTAGTATTTTGCGTGCACATTTTGAAGAGATTACCCCACCGGGAATTTCAGTGGGGGATGTTTCCGGGAGGTTATGGGTTGCTGGTGGCTGGTGGCTGGCTGGGACTGCGAGGCACAGTGCTGCGCTATCCGTGACTTATCATAACCCCACCCGGGGCAACGTCGGGTATCATATCAAGAGCAGTAAATACTCCAGAGAGAAGATGGGAGATGAATTAACAGATCGCGAGTGCTATTTCGTGAGCCAAGACATAGTAAATTTAATTGATGGGTGGTCTGATGATATTGATGAGAGCCATCGTAGGATACAGGCACACCTGTGACACACTAAACACCGTATCGTATGATATTACGCCCCTGTTTGGCAGGACACAGGATGAAAAAGAAGAAAAAAACTCAGTTTTTGTTGGGAATAGAGTATGCTTTAAAATGAAAATACTCGGTTTTTCAGGTGCTGGTACTAGTAACTTACTAGAAGGTAACCGAATATATGTAACTGCCGGTAGCTAATTACTCGTATATGGTATTCTAGCGCCCGGGACTATCGTGACGCTGAGTGGCACTGTACGGAAAATCAATACTTTCAAGGGATACAGCACTTTTGTCAGGGGGTGTCGGAGGCGTTTAGTTATCCAAGTATGTGGGCGGACCAAACCCGACCCCGACCGCGGGAGAACGGAGATTAGGGCGAGACCAAGGGGGGCTCTGGACCGAGTAAATGCTGTGCATCAGAATGGATGACATTATTGGAGCAGCATCTCGGGGAGCAACAATGTCTTCTCGAAGTCATGTAGGCTAAGATTTACCTCCTCGCATTTCGTTCCTAGCAAACAACTAAAAATTATCACCTCTATAAATGATTACGCCTGCCCTTCCAACCCCAGACTGGCCGTCACAAGCTGCTAGGTCCAAGAGCCAGTACCTCATACAGTGGAATACAGCCTAACACTGCTTCAAGTTAGTGTCACCATAAAGGCCCCAGTAGTTATCGCCCTCTCCCAACTCGATTATCCTTACTTTCATAGTCCTACAGGGCAACACTTCCTTAACCTCCACCCCATATCCAAAAGGAGGTGATCCAAAGCACACCACCCGCTCACGATCAAATGTTGGCAGATCCCGAAAGAAAGTGGGTGGTTATCTTCACCATCACTGGAGAGAAGGGTTGTGAGGAGCTGGCCAGTAGCAAGGTTAGCAGGAAGATGAAAAACATCGGAATTAGCTGCCTGCCTGCCCCGGCCAACGCTACAACGCAGTCTGCTCGACTAAGGAAGAGGGAAAACAAACTAGTAGGAAATGTCAAAGCCGGTGGAGGTACTCCAACCAAGCATGAGGATGCCAGATCAGGTTGAGACATGTGTGTCGGTATAGTGCCGAAAAGGTGCATACAGGGAGACGCAGCACATACAAAGGTATACAGTCCTCTAGCCCCCAGGTTATGGCGGGCTTCCATAAAGGCGGGAGAGTAAACCGAGCGGTAGAGGATAAAGGAGGTGGTGAGGAAGAACAGGGGAAGTGTGAGAGAGGAGTAAGGAAAGGTAGCGGATGGCTCTAGCAGCAAAGACGTGAGGAAGGGAATTCGAAGGTTACTATCGCACGCTTGGGCCTCTTCGTTCCCGCCCTAGATAAGGAGCAAATAGTTGGGGCTGTTCATACTGCCGAGGGGGGTTATTTTATTGTTTCGGAACGTGAGGGGTACTGGCGCATTTGTAAAGATATCGTTCTACTTTGTCTCCCTTTTCTGCTTTCACCATCTAAACTATATTCTTTTTAACTGTTCATCAGTTATCTGTTGATGCAGTATCACCAACTCTCACTCGTGATCTTTAGCTGTATATTGTTGTGATATCGCCGGGGTTGTTAGGAACTTCCTGATAACCACATGCCAGAAGCATTCTAGACGAATGTGAGGAGATACAAGGAATGGTATGGATTGGAAAGAATGTAGTCGGTTGTTGGAATGAGGACGAGGAATGGTATGGATTGAAAGGAATGGGGTCACTTGGTGGACTCGGATATCTGGTCGGTTGGATTCTCTATAGTATATAGTGGTCATCTACTTTGGCGGTAGGAAGGGAGTGAATTAAGTTAAGAAAATACTTCACAATTCTTGTTCACTCAAAATGATCATATCCTTCCCTGCAGAAGTGCCCAATTGAATTCTCCTCTTTACTCCACCTAAAATCTCTTTTCTACTTCATATATCGTTAAGGTGCGAGAAGGTAGGATAGTGAAGAAGTTGGAAAAGCTTGGTGAGACTAATGTCTCTGGCGCCCACCGATACCCCAAAAGAATAAATAAAATGAAGATACGACTGCCAAACCGTTCGGTAGCTGCATCTTATGTCGACTCTTTTTCTTCATATTCTTTCACTGACGTGGGTACTCGCAGGGGCTTACTTCGGGATGATGCCTACTGCCCAGTAATGTAGGTTTGAAAGCTGCTGCAGTGTACATCGTGTGGCAGTTGTCGACCGAAGGAGTTTCGTTAAGAGGTTTGTAAGAGACAGCACTCTGCGGGGAGTGGATATTAATCGAACATACAGTTGGTGTGCGTATGGTATTGACAATAAAGTGGGAAGGGTGAATTGGAGGAGTACTAGTAATGTTTAGGGAGGGCAGGGTTTATTATTAGTCTGATAGTAGATTTGAACTGTACGCTAGCTATTTCACAGTAAGCAACCAACCTCGCATAGCTCGTGCGGCTGTTAAGGTACTATGCGTGGATGGGCGTTTGGTAAAACCTGTGCTGGCTGCACCCCCACCCGGAGAAACCCCCCATGTTAAGCCGTGGGAATGGATTATTGTAGGTGAGAATATCATGCTTGCCGTGAGAAAAAATAAGCGGAATTTACAAATTTGGAGAGATTTACGTCCCGGAATACTGCTTCTGAGGATAGATAACCATGAAGATTATCTATATAATGGTGAGGAAAGAAAAGGCACTTCGAGTGAGAAACCAATCATAATGGATGATCCTTTAGCAAGCCTTCCTGCTATCCTGACTAGTAACGGAGACTGAGTAGAAGAGATCCCATAGATCACATAATTTCCACCCAGAATTCTAAAACCTCACCTGGTCCTTAGGAGTATTCCATGACGTACTGTAAGTACAATCCAGCGTGGTTGTAGTGACAGCTACTCGTATTTGGCAATAAGTATCTGAAAACCAGGAACATAAGCACGGGGGGTCGGCCAGGGTATGACAAAGATTGTGGAAGAGATTAATTATTATACACATTGCTACTTGGGGGTTTCTTGATGACTATCTATGTACATTAACCACCGTGTATGTTCTCCTGAAGCATTTATCACAGATTCTATGTATTCTGGTAAAGAATCAACATATCCTAGTATCTCCTTTTAAGAATATATCAAACATTCTCAATGGGGTTCAAGTCTGGTGATGAAGGGGACCAAACTAAATAGAGTAGTATCTAGTAATACTTGCAGGCAGCTTTTCGTCAGTTTTGCTCAATATGCTAATTCTCCATCCTTTATGACCCAAATCTTTGTCTGTTAATATTGAGCATGATTTTCCCAATATAAAAAAATGGATACAAGACTGGTGTAAGCACAAGATTTATATCAGTTTATTCTGTGATTATCCCCCAGTTCTCTTTCTTTCATAGAACCAGTGGTGTTTTTCTTCCTCCTAAAATACCTCTCCAAATCATAACTGAAGTTTC